TTAGGGCTGTTGTACATAGGGTCGCTATGAGTCGCAGGCGACTTGACGGCACATAACAACAACAACTGTCCTTTTCAATCTTGATGAAGGAGGAAACTGAGGCAGGATTTCTCTTTCCAAGAAATAAAATGGCGGAGATGGGACCTGGGAATGATTGAAGGCGCGCGTTCTGAGCTTTTGGCAGTGGTCACTGTGTGATGCTGTGGTTACTGTTCTCATTGTGTGCTGGTGATCCAGCTTTTCAGGGGCAGTAAGTGACACAGGTGGAAATTGCCTGTCCTCCTCTCTCCAAGCAGCTGTTAGGTTTAATCCACATGCCTTCAGGCTGGCAGCACAGCTCCGTACCACTAGGCCACCCAGGCTCCCTGGTTGCTGTATAGGAGGGTCCAAGAGTGTGAAGACTTCATTCACTCTACGTGCAGCACTTTATTTTTTTAATTTTTGTTTTTTTTTAATGAGAGGTGGTTTGTTCTATCTCTCAAACAGACCAGATTACATCACTCACATTTTATCATTAGCTACTAGGTTAAAATACTGTTTTGACAATAAAAATTAACAACTTTTTTTATAATTTTGAACATAATTCTAAGATTTTTTTTCTACATAAAAATACTAAATTTCTGTCCATCCTAAGTATCAATGTATTATCTCTAACACAAAAAGGAATTCCCCCTAAGCAGGTAACAGGAATGGATAATTCCTAAAATGAGAACTAAAACTCCTGGCCAGTAAACATCTGTGGCGGGGAGAACGGGGCCTCAGCGATAGTGAGCAGTGCAAAAGAGGAGAATGCCATTGGAGATTTATTTTTTAGCAGGAGGTTTATTCTATATTCCTTTCTTTGTTGTTCTTTTCCAGCAGGAATACTCCAGTGTTTTGAGAATATGGAAAAATGGATCTATTCACATTATGTTGTAGATTCTACCATAAGTTGTACCATTTTTCTGAAATAATCTAGCCGTATTCTCATAACCTCCAAAAGTGTTCATAGCTTTGAGTAGTAAGTACAAAAAGGCAGACTTAAAAACTCTTAATTAGTGCATTCTCCTTTCTGTTTTTAAGTACATTCATGTAACTATTATTTTACAGTACTTTTGTTACATATTTTCAAGCATTTTATAATTTTTGGGGCTAAATTTCTCATGCACAACCATATAATCACATGGGGTATCTTACGTGCACTTAGAGCGAGCATACACACTTATAGAAAGCACCTGTCACTTGTCTGTTGGTTTGTCAAACTGTGGTAGCTTGTGTATGTGGCTGTGATGCTGAAAGCTGTGCTGCTGGTATATCAAGTACCAGAAGGTTCACTCTGGGTGGACAGGTTTTAGCAGAGTTTCACACTAAGGTAAACTGGGAAGCAGCACTAGCCATTGCCTTGTGAAATAATGAGCCCCTTGTAAACACTAAAAAGAGCAGAAGTCCGTTGTCTGATGGTACCAGATGAGGCCCTCAGGTTGGAAGGCTATCATATGACAAGTAAAGGGCCATTGAAGAAGGCTCTGAACGAGATGAGTTGGCGTAGTGACTGGAACAGTAAGGGAAAGCACCGCAGAGATTGTGAGGTTGGCACAGGGGCAGGCAGATTGCAGTGTGTTGTATACAGCGTTGCTATGAGTGTGAGCCGATGCTGTGGTATCTGACAGTGTTGTGAGCATTCTGCAGAGTGTGTTGACAAACTGTAAGAAAAAGGAATTAAACTTCCATGTTAGTAACACTTCCCAAAGTTACATCAGTGGGCCAGGATAAAATTAAGTCACTAAAGCATAATGTCATCATTGTAAGCTCATAAAAGACTGGTATATGCATTTAAAATGACAAAAGGGAAAATGACCAGGGAATTGGAGAAAGTCTGTGATAAATCTAGGATGCTTTGGTGGTCTGGAGAGTAGAGAGTAGCACAGCCAGCTCAGAAGGCATGTGGTTTGAATCCAGCGGGCACTCTCCTCCCTCGTGATTTATAGCCTCTGAAAACCTGCTGGGGGGTCACCTGTGTCTTGGGGGCAATTGGGGATGGGGGTGGGGGGTATAAATGGGTGATTTCTCCAATTTTCACAGAAAGAAACCATTAGGCATTGTTGAAGATGCTAAGTAAGAGATACCAAAGAGTATCATTTAAAATATGATAGCACCAGAAAAAACTACATTTTACCTGTGAGCCTGGACTGAACAACTTGCTTTTCCTCAAAAATTTCTTTCAGTTTAAAAAAAAAACAGCCAACACAAAACTCAGTTAAGCCATGTTGTCACGTAAATGGTAACCATAGTATTCTTTCTCTTTCTAAGGAATAAGTGACATTATATATATATATATATATATATATATATATTTTCAATATGTAAAAGCACTTTGGAGTTAAATGAAATTAAAACTAGTCATATTTATTTGCATTAAACTGGGGTTTTTTTTGTTTTTAATTCTTACAGCTTCTAAGACCAAGAGAGAAGAAGTTAGGGCTAGGTAAGTAAAACCTTATCACTTCTCATACCTGCTTTTTGGTCTTGGTGTAAGACTGTCTTATGCAGAGTTTCCTGGTTTGGAACATGGCCAAAGTAGTACAACTTTGGGTAATGTTTTTCAACGATCTGAGTAACATTTAAGTGATAGGCTTAGGCTGCCTACAGCAGTCGAGCCCACTCAGGAAAACAAAAAACCACTGAGTGTTTTCAAGAGAGAGAATTTTACACAGACAATCAGATTCCACAGGTGAAGAAGGAAAGACTCAGAAGCCGAATGGAACAATGAGGCACTCGGTAACCGCCAGAGGAGCTTCACCCTGAGTATGGAGCAACATTGGAAGGGGATGGTGTTTCCAGATCCCAGAACCAGAGCCGTGCTCAAGTTGGAACCTCGGGGTGATGGCTGCTCGACACAGAGTGGAGCCAGGGTGGCTGCAGGGAGGCAGAATAAGAGAGTGGAACGCTTAGATTTCTGCCCCTTGTCCCTGCCTGCAGGCTTCATTCTGTACCTCCCATTGACCATAGCTTTTTGGAAACCAGTTGACAAGAGAATGTGGGAAATAGTTGTTTATTATACAGAGAAGAATAAAGAAGGGCTAGAAAACTTCTTGAGCTGGGATACCGCCTTAGCTAGTAATTCTGAGGTGAAACTGAATATATCTGTTTTTCAATTATGAACATGATTAGGTGAAAATGGAGGGTGGCTTCATCAGAACATAACTGCCAAGCCACAGAGAATCAGGACCCAGCCAAGTTGACACAAATCCTTCCCCATCATAGCTAGTGTAATCTTGCCTCATATCCTGGCATTTGTTACAGCCAAATGTAAGTTGTTAATGTGCAAAATAGTTGGATAGTAGATTTCATACAATGGTCATAAACACAAAATGTCAGATAATGAGATGATTGAAAAGTGAAGAGTATATCTTTTTCTGTGTCAGTCACAGTTGTTTCATTTTAAAGAAAAATTTGGGAGCTTAGAGGAAACAGTTCTTGAAAATTAACTAATTTCCTACAGACCATCAGTGACTTAATTTTCTTTAGAGATGGGAGATAAAAGCCTGGAAGTCAAGGATTATCCCTAGACTAGATAGACTGGGTAGAGGTTATTTCCTGAGGGTTGTCTGAACTGACTCATAGCTGACCTCTGTTAAGTTTCTGAGGCTGTAAATTGCACAGAAGGAAATCATTCATCTTCTCCCTCAGAGTAGCAAGTGGATTCAGAAGAGATTCAGCTGTAGGGTTAGCATGTGACTCTATGGACTAGACCACCAGATCTCCATTGTAGCCAGTTTAGAGGCAAAAAATAGAGACGACTCTAGAATCTGTTCTGTTTGAAATGGTTGAATATCCAAAGGGGGCTGTGTGCTAGACAGAAGTCAGAAGAGGTTAGCCTGGTTATCTGTATGGGATCAAAGTGACAGCAGCAACTTGAAAGGCATCTTTACAGCACAAAGATTGTCATCAGTTACACTGACTTACACATAATAGAAACAGTTGGATTGGGTCTGTGTTTTGCTGTGCATGTTCTGAACTGTAATAACAGTAAAATGAAAAGACGTTGGCCCATTGGTAGACACTTAGAAAGACCTAACATAAAGGTGGTTTCAAACTGTAATTTTTGGGGGAGCCCTGGTGGCCTAGTGACAAGAAGCTGCACTACACAGAGTCTGAAAGTTTGCATTATTTCTTTGCAATAATAATCTGTTTAATCTCATAAATCATTGCCTGAATTGGAGTAGGAGGCAAAGTACCTTCTTAACTCTGTTTAACAATGTTTGAGATACTTTGTATTGGTAGTTACCAGTTTATTAGTAACTTCTTCAGAGCTTGAAGAGAGCTCTGGTGACCTGGTCTGTAGGGAGCTGTGCTGCTAACTTCCAGGCGTTTTTGTCTCCTAGTCAGTTTCAGTTGTTCAGTGGGAGAAAGACGAGCAGTCTCCTCCCGTGCGATTTATAGTCTCCAAGAATCAGCCGGAAGGTCAGCTCTGGGTTGGCTCTAACTTGATGGCAATGAGGGGGTTTTTGAGGGCATGAACTAGGCTTTTCAGATGCTTAAAAAATCTCTTCTTGTGTTGATAACGTATGTAAAACATTTCTAATTCTTTTCTTTTTATGTGTCTACTTTGATTTTTAGGAACTGCATATATCCATGGGATGAAACATGCCACAGGAAACTACATAATCATTATGGATGCGGATCTCTCACACCACGTAAGGAATTTCTTTCTTTAGTACCTATTTATGGTAGTTTTAGCCTATTTTACTGACTTATTGTTTATTCTTTCTAAATTTCAGCCAAAATTTATTCCTGAATTCATTAGGTAGGTATGATTTCTAATTTTTGAAGGAATTCTGATTTAAACCATTTATCTTATATTAGTTGTGGGGGGTTTTTTTTGCATTTTTCATTCTTTATTAAAAATGCATGTGTGCAACAATGAATGAATGGAAATCCAAGTTCTCTCTAAACTTCCATTAAAGTCTCAATAAGTAAAAATAGAAAAACAAAAGCACATGTTTTATATTTTCTGTAAAAAATATAAGCAATATATTAATTTTCTGTTCCTCCATGTAGAGATGTGACTGACTGATGTGGTGATAGGAGCCCTGAGTGATAAAATCAACAGATTATTCCATTGTTATCTAAATTCTTCCAGATCACAGAGGACATAAGATTCCCCTGATACTGAAATTAATCCCTCAGTACTAAAAGTAAAACACTGCAAAGAGGTAATGTGCTTGTACAGCACAGCTATTTCCTGTCCCAACCCATGTCAGTTTTGGGGATGGACAAGAAGAAGGAAACAGACTCACCTATCTCATTTCGGAGACCATACGTACCTCATTTGTATGGTAGGCTGTAGACACTTCATTTGCTAAGTCTGGAGTATACCAAAAGTTGGACAGCGTACATCCTAGGGTCAGATAAAAAATACTAAGCCACAGGTTGTTTCCAGCTTGCCAAGAGACTGTCATTCTACCTGAACAAAAGTAGCAGTCTCTCTTGGGTAGGAAGCCAAGCCAAAAAAATGTAGCTCCTTGGGATCAAGGGGAACCTCTCCTAGGCTGTTTTCCAAAGAACCAAGACAGAAGTCCTCATGAGGAAGCTCATATTCAAGGTGGTACAGTTAAATACTTAGCAGTCCTGGAACACCTTGTAACCCCTCTCTGGCTCCTCCTACCCTTTGGGGTCCTGTGTGATCTGGCTGTTTTCTCTCTTTCTGAGCATGTCTGTGCTCTCCTTCACCTTCATATTCTGTGTCTCATATTTGTCTCTTTTTGAGTTCCTTTCATTTCTTTGTTCTCTGTCTCCTTTGCCTGTATTGCTCTGTTCTTCTTTAATGGTCAGCTGCTTCTTATCTTTGATCTCTCTGTATGACGTTACCCTAGAGAAGCCATCTTTGACTACCATATTTTTATGCAAGTTAAAGAGCAACCAAGAAAAATACCTGTATAATACAAAGGATTTCTGTCTAATACACAAAATCTTCTTTAACTTGTTAAGAAAATAGAGCCACTGGTGTAGAAAATGGCTAAAGGCCAAAAAAAAGGTTGTCTATAGAAGAAACCCAAACGGCTAATGTCATAAGAGAGGGAGTTCAAACCTGTGATGTAGCAGACAAATGCAAAGAAAAGTAACCATGTTAACTATTGGGAATACTCATCAGTTTGTTAGAATTAAAACTTGTAGAACGGTGATGGTCAGGGACAGCAAAAATAGTAGAAAATATAGTCTGTGCTGGAAAATTTAACTTGCTGTAACTTTATTGGAAAGTCATTTCTAGCACTCTATGCTCGGAGTACTGGTAAGATTTATTTTAGCAATTCCATTGTGTTGCATCTTGTCCCTAAACACCAGAATATAGAAGTGTACTCACAGAAAAAAGTATACTCACTGGAGCACTATTCATAGACCCTACAATCAACCATAGGAACATGTGGGTAAAATGTGGACTGTTGCAGCTATTAAAAAGAATAATTAATTGATTGCAGTCCCCACAGTACCGCAAAAAAAAGTATATGAGTTGTTAAATGGAAACCAAGTTTATTCTCAAATCAACAATAAGCAGTTAAAATCTCTGTTGACTTGTAGGCATGTTTGTGATTTAAATTTTTAAGTGACAAAAAACAAGCTGCAAAATCTCTGCTTTGAAAGAATACTTTGCAATAATTTAGTCTGTCTTCTTGGCTTTAGGATTTTTATTTAATGTTTTTAGAATATTTTCTTGTTGGAGTGATAGTTTCACAAAGCTAGATGGAAACCCGACACTAATAGCTGTTTTGTTTCCTGACTGATTGCTATCCCTTTCCTCTCTGGAGTAGAACAGCACCCTTCCTTCCTTGTCCCTCAGTTCCCTGTGTTCATTCTTCCCAGGTCCTTCTTTGCCCTTCCTACCTTCTGAACTTGGACTGATGCCATATTTTGGGTTGATTCTTCTTAACCATAAGCTGTTTACTTGCTCACTGCACACACCTGTCTGCTATTTAGCTGAAAGATACTCCCTGGAGGGGTGGGCTCATTTCCAGGTTTGAAGGGTACATAAAGGCCAGGGTCTCGGGTCTTCCACCAGTCGCTGTCAGAATGGTAAATCTGATCTTTTTCATAATTTCACATTTTATTCTACATTTAAATTTACGATTTTTAATTTTTTTTTAGATTTATGATTTTTATATACTGCTTCTGAAAATTGTGTGTTGCCTATGAAAATACTATTGAAAGTTCAGTGGCTTTCTAACTGATGGCTAATTTTTCATTTAGGAAGCAGAAGGAGGGTAATTTTGACATTGTCTCTGGAACTCGCTACAAAGGAAATGGAGGTGTATACGGCTGGGATTTGAAAAGAAAAATAATCAGGTATGTATGTGCTTTAACGTCTTAATTGTCACATGTAACTGCTGCCGATACATGTAAAACAGAGATTTGAATTATATTGCCATGCTCCCTTGGGATTGGTGAGACTAGATTAAAACTTCTGATAAAATATTCCCAACTAGCTTCTAACCAACAATTTCCCCTATGGCTTGAGTATTTTACAAGTAAACCATTTCTGTTTCCTTGTTTACATTTATGTAGTTTAAAGTAAGTCATCACTTGAGGATTGTGGCTACCATCCCTAGTCACTTACTGCCATCAAGTCATAACTGACTGTGTCTCCATTGGGGTTCTGAGGCTGCGCATCACATGGGGGTAGATTGTCCATCTTTCTCCTTGGAAACTTGTTCAGGTATCAAACAGCCAGAGAGGTGTGGCCTTGGGTTACCGCACAACTCCTTACAGACTTAATGCCAGAGCTCCTTACGCAGGCAGCAACAGAAAAACATTTAGAAATCATACTGATGGTGAGTTGTTGGGTGTTGTGTTTTTTAAAGCACTCACTTCAATCCTGTTGAAGATTTTATTAAGTTAACCTGAATTTTATCTCTTAACTAATTATAGAACTTTATGCAAAGTGTTTAAGAACCTCAGTAGCTTTTTAAGTGAAATGAAGAAGTTAAGGTGTTTTTCAACCCTAGTTGAACTCTGCAATAATGTAGGGATATACACAAACACTCCCCACCCCCTCACTTTTCTTTGTTCCATTTTCATGAAAAACTGCAATTTCAAAATGCATCACTTAGATGTATAAGCATACTCATACACACTTATTTTCTTTTGCTTAATCCCATTTTTGGGAGTGGACTGTTTCCTGTCATTTTTTTAGTAGCTGTTAGAAGCAAATTGCTTAGCTTGGCAATGTTTCTTAGTCCTTTTCCCCAGCATTTATCCTCATGACATCTAAAAAAATGGTTCTGTCTCATCAACTCTGACTCATGATGACCTCGTGTGTGTCAGCAGAACTGCTCTGCAAAAGGTTTCCAGGAGCTGGTTTTTCAACAGTAATTGCCAGGCCTTTCTTCCAAGGTGGATTCAGACCCTCCAGCTTCTAGTTAAAGTATAAGCACTTAACTGTGTGTTAAGGACCTCCTTGACATCTTCTTAACCTTGTGCTTATTTTTATAATAAAGGCCTTTGGTGCTTTCTTTGGCTCCTCTGATTAAATCCTAAAAACTCTGCAGACACCTGGCCACTGGACACCTGGCCGCTGTATCGGAGTCACTTTCTCTAGGCCCTTTGACATCCTTTGAAATGTTAATATCAGCTCTTAGTCAACTAATTGCTTGGAGCTGATTGGCTAAGTGTGTTTGGACCACGTGTCTGAAGTCCTGGGTGAGCCTGACTTAGGTTAATAGTCAGGGATTGATGCACCTTTAAGGAAGGCAAGCAAGAAGACATTTTTGTGCAGCCTAATCGACCTTCCTGAAAACAGTCACTTTTCATCATTGGAATTTTGAAAAGGAAATTCATTGCCATACTTCTGCTCTGTTAGGGAGCTCTATTGGCCTGGTGGTAGGGAGTTAGCCTGGTGATCTAGAAGTACGTGGTTCAAATCCACCAGTTGCTGCTCCATGGGAGAAAGATGGGCAGTCCTTCTATGGGATTAACTGCCTCTGAAAACCCACAGAAGGGTCAGCTGTGGGTAGTTCTGACTCGACCGCAGACAGCAGCCACCCCTGCTCTATCACTGACAGATACTCAAATTTCTAAATAATAATAACTGTTGGTAAAAATTATCAGTTTGTGTTGAAAAATCTGTTATGTTCCCTGAAAAAGAGAAGTATCAGATCACGTTCACTAATGAAAAATTTCTCAAGTTAATTGACATTACTGTGAAACTAGTAAGGCATTTTTAGCCTTCTTCTCGGGACTATTTCTCCAGAATAAATTTTATCTTATAAGACAATTGTATTGTTTTTCTTGGCAGCCGAGGGGCCAATTTTATAACGCAGGTCTTGCTGCGGCCAGGAGCATCTGATTTAACGGGGAGTTTCAGGTAAACCTTTTTTTTTTTTAATATTTTTATTTTACATATTCTTCATAGCCTCTTGCCTAAGTTTCTTGCTTTATAGTGCTGTATTTCAAAGAAATGCTTTCTGCCCCTCTTTTTCTTCTAAAATGTTAAAACAGCAGAGTAGAGTCCTTTAGCACCTAATAAAGAATTCCAAGCACATGAAAGAGAAACATTGTACTTCCAGTGAGCATCAACAGCAGAGCTTAGGTTAGTGTGCGTGTTACCGTTATTGTTGATGCTCAGCCCCCACAAAGACCATTGGAACATCCAGAGTCCAAGGTCATTGCTCACCACTTGCTCAGAACTGTTACTGATAATGATTTTCAAAGAACTGCCCGCACATAAGCCGGGGATCTGCTACTGTTTATACACGGATAACCTTGTGTGTAGCTAAGTTTTAAATCTTGATTGTTTGTGCAGCATTTTTTTAATTACCACATGGCCTTCGCCAGCCATAAGACTAAACCTGTGATTCTAGCTTCCTCATGTTTTCGTGTTTGTTTTAGAGGTTTTTACCATAGTTTTTCGGTTCTAATTTCAGATCTGTTAACAGTAGCTGTGCTGCTTTGTGTGACAGGAGCAAGTGACTAGAGAGAGGTTTTCTTACCTAAAAACCTAAAATGCATCTTCATCTATTCTAAGGCTCGTACTTGACTTCTTTTCCTCTTAAGTCCTTCATTAAATACATGAAATCTTGGTCCTGAAATAATATTGACCAAAAATAAACAAACAAATATAAATTAGGGGCCAGCTGTTGGCATGTAACTAATACCTCTAGTGAAACTGCAAATATGTGTCAAACATAGGGGCAGCTGGACAAGTAAAGAGAAAAGCCATTCCACATTCAAAACAAATGAAGCCCCTGAGATTAAAATGAAATCCATTAAATCATATCATTTGACCTGTAGTATAATTAAAGCAGAACTCAGCCAGTTGCCATTGAGACTTTCCACCTCTTGGCAGTGCTGTGTGTCAGAGTAGACCCGTGCGCCTCTGGGCATTCAGTGGCCCATCTTCCAAGGTTCTCAAAGAATCCAGGTGGACTTGAACCTCCAGCCTTTCAGTTAAAAGCTGAGTGTCATAACTAATACCAGGGACTCCACAAGATAGATAGCCTATTGCATTGAGTCTGTTTCAACTTTAAACTGTAAGTTTTTGTCTTTATTAAAGCAGCCTGTTGGATCTTTCTCCCACTGATCAGCTGGTGGGTTTGAATTGTAGACCTGTAGGTTAATACTCTGCTATCAGGGCTTCTTCAGAGGACAGCTGCATGTGTCTGCCTGCCTGTTTGTCTGTCTCATATTGACACTTAAGAATGCACATAAAAGGGGAGCTCTGGTGGCCTAGTGGCAAGGAGCTGCAACTACAATCCCAGAGGCGCACGGTTCAAATCCACCAGATGCTCTGCCGGGGAAGGAGGGACAATCTCCTCCTGTACCGGTCAGATCTGATTTGACGGTACATACACAAAAAATAATAAAATAAAATAAAAAAAGAAGGCACATAAAAAAATCTGGAAAAGAATATTTGACAGTTTAGCTCCTTAAAAGAATAGTGATTTATTAAAAATACATATTGATAATTTGTTCTGTTATAGAACCCATTAAACTCCAACTTGTCATTGAAAGTCATATACCATCTGTAAAACAAAAGAACTTCATTTGCCATCATTACAGTAAAGACGTTGTATTGGGGAATGGGACAGTAGAGAAAAATGTCATAGGACATGCGTATGGTGGGGGGGGATAAAAGTCCGTCCTTAAAGGGACGGAATCCTGACCCAATTGCAAATTTAAAGTGTTCCCCCTACCCTATGGTCTCATCGTCTTTCCCCAGCTTAAGTCTGTTAAGCGTATTATGTAACTTCATTTATTTTCCAATTCATTACTAAACTCAAAGCAAGAAACAGACCTGAAATCTAGTTGTTGTGTGCCATAGGTGGCTCAATAAATGTTTTTGAATTTACTGTTGAGTTCACCTCACTTCAACTCCACACTGACTCCTTTGGATGCTTCTGGAACCTGTGTACACACCAAGTTCTCAGGTTCTTCTCAGGGCCGTACTCTGAAGAGCTTTAAGGTAGAGGGACCTCAGAGGAAGCATGAGGATCCCAGGTCAGAACATTGTGGATACAGGTGGCTTTAACTGGAAAGAGCAGTCACACCAAACTGCCTCTCTACACTTTTTCAAAAAATAGGGAAGGTGTAGAAATTGCAGCCTTTACCCACTAGACTCAGTCAAGTCTCTCTGAATTAACTCCATGACTGAAAAGGGAAAGCTCTCTTCTGTGCACGGAATAACTGGAGAAGTGATGGGATTGGCTCCTATAAGAATCCTTTTAGACCTCCCAGGTCCTCTGTCTTGGATTGTAAATCTTGGTGTTCTGGGCTTGCTATCCATGCATTCCCCCTTTGTAAATGTTGAAATCTTGTAAATTCTGTAGCTGGTTGTAGGACCTCATTCCTGGTTTAACCAATAAAGCAGTCTCATATTAGAGGGACTAAGTCTATAATATTTATTTATTTTGGGAAATGAATAGGCCGTAGATATTTAGGAGGAAGATCTTCTTAATTACAGATTTTTATTAGCTAATTTATACTATTACTTTATCAATTTTTCTCAGCTCAATATTATTTTTAACAGTCTCTTATTTAACTTTCACAGTAAATTTTAGGAAAATTTTAAAACTAATGATTTAATAATTTCTGGTAATGTGGTAATCATTTCTGAGAACAACTCCGAGAAACCCCCTGGCATCAAGTTGCTTCTAACACATAGCAACATTAGAGGACAGGGCAGAACTTCCTTCTAGGAATCCCTGGGCTGTTATCTTTACAGAAACAATGCCTGCTGCCTCTTTTTCCATGAAGTACTTGGTGAATTCAAACCACCAACCTTTTGCTTGCTAGGCGGACACCTTAACCAGTGCACCACTAAGGTTCCTACTTGATCTCTCTCTTTAATAGCTGTTTCATGACAAATATAATCGCCCACAATGATAGTGAAAATGTTACTCTCATAATACCAGTGAACCTTTTGAAACGTCAAGATCTATAGGTAAGTGAATTAATCCCAGTGTTCATATATCATTTTAATTTCTTACAGATTATACAGAAAAGAAGTTCTTCAGAAATTAATAGAAAAATGTGTTTCTAAGGGCTACGTCTTCCAAATGGAGATGATTGTCCGAGCAAGACAATTGAACTATACTATTGGCGAGGTATGATGACGATGAAGATAGGGGATAGTGTCCTCAGAAAGAAACAGGAAGGTTTAGATTTTTTTAACTATCACACTACTAAATTAATGTGCAAGGTTTTCAGCTCTTTAGAATGTCCCTGTATTAAAGAAATGAAAGTCAAATCCCTTTATCTAGCCAAAGATTAACACATTAGCAAAAGGCATCCTCACATTTAAATAAGTAAAAGTTGCTGGTACTGTCCCCATCCTGACCCTTAAGTGGGCTGTCTCCATTGTTGTTCCTCTTGCTGTAGCCAGCAAGCCTTCCTACTTTAAAGTGAGTGGTGGGTCCCAGGTGCTCACTTCGTCTGAGTAAACTAACCAGGATGGCAGAGCAAAATGGAGAGATGCATAATATTTAAGGCCAATTATTGGAGGAAGGAAATGTAGAAGGGAAGTCTCTTCGTTTAACATTGATGTTCTTAATTTAGAGCAAGGAAATGCTAGCTGAAACGCCACTTCTCTTGTGGCAGTTAGAAGATTTTCATATATTTTCACTAAAACAAACTGACTGCTGTTGAGGCCATCGATTTAGAGCCATCCTCAAGGCCAGAAAGGGAGCACTGGTGGCTCAGCCATAGGGAATTGGAGCTCTGACCCAAAGGTGGCACCTTCCTGGTGGTTCAGCGCTCTCAGCGGCTCCCAGGGAGAACGGTGAGCTGTGTCTTCCCAGGCGATTTATAGCCTTCTAAAAACTGCTGGAGACTCGACAATAATGAGATAAACTGGAACTGCCCCTTAGAGTTCCTAAGGGAGCTCTGGTAGCCAAATGGTAGAGAATCATGCTACCATCGCAGAGTTGCACAGTTCAAGTCCACTAGCTGCTGTGCAGCAGAAAGGTGAGCAGTCTCCTCCTGTGCCTTTGAAAACCCGCTGGAGGGTCAGCTGTGAGTCAGTTCCAACTCACTGATACACAACAACAAATACTGAAGGAAGCCACATGTTTCTCTGGAGCAGCTAGAGAGTTCCAGCCACCAACCTTTGTCTTAATAGCCTGACACTTAACTGTGCCATCAGACCTGCTTTAATAAAACCTTAAAGCTAATTTTGACACCTAACTAAAATAATTTAAGTGAAAATTTTCTTTACAAGTGGAGAATACTTGTTCCTTGAATTGCCCTAAAACTGACTTTGATGTGTCTTTTTAAACTAGGTTCCAATATCATTTGTGGATCGAGTTTATGGTGAATCCAAGTTGGGAGGAAATGAAATCGTCTCCTTCTTAAAAGGACTACTGACACTTTTTGCTACTACATAGAAGAAAATTTTTCATTTATATTTATCATGTTCATTACAATAAAATCAGAAAAGAAGCCTGGTTGGTGACTTTTATAAAATGTACACTTAGAGCATAAATTATAAGGTAAGGTAAATTTCATGTAAATTTTTTTTTCTGAAGAAATGCCATCATTTAATAATTCAAATTAGAAAAACATGTTTCCTCATTTTTTTTTACTGTATTATCGATAAATAAATGTATATAATTTGTTTTTCATAACATGCTATTTTCAGCACCTAACAACAATACTGTTTTCATTAGAGTATATGGATGACGATTTTTTTAATGAAGATTTTATTCTTTATAAAAATTGAATATAATTCTTTGTCTACCTAGCACATATGTCAGAGAATAAATCATGAAATATAAATGGCTGTATTAATTGGGGAAACACATTTTTCCCTTTCCTCAAAAATGTATCTGAGTGTTTTTAAAACAATACATTTAGAACAAAATTTGTAAGCTTTTGTTTCTTTGCAGCTACTGAATTGACTATGTATTGTGAATTGGAAATGGCTTAGTGACAATTGATAATTGTATAGCTGTTTTTTCCTCTGTCAGTAAGGAATAATATTGAAAACATTGTGATAAAAATTCAGCTGCTATAGTAACTTAAATAAATTACTGAGTTGCTTTTATAAAGATTTTTTTTTCCTCAAAATATTTGTTTTTATATTATTTCAAGATCCTCACGAAAGCACACATCTTTACTAATAGGACAAAAATCTCTTCCCTGTAGCTCATCTCTCCATTGAAAAAGCTGTGTCAGATAAAATACACGCTAAGGTATTAAATAAAGTTTAGTGTAAATGTTATGTTTACCTACCTACCTTCTCTAAAAATAGGTCGGTTTGTCAGTTAATTTCTAGTACTACCATAGGTTTTGGATCATTCTGAAGTATATAAAGTTTTGTTAAGACATACCTTGAGCAAATTAGCATAAGATCAAGTTGATTTGACTTTGCAAGTAAAAGGCATATTTAATCATGCTACTTAGCAAATGTCAATACCATATTTCCCAGGCTTAATTTAGTTGTGGAAGAAATTTAAAATCTAATGTTATCTGTGGCGTTTGTCCCAAACCAATCCTACTAGAAACAAACACCAAAATGTAAATTTGTTGGTGTGATTGAACACTAAAACCTCTCGAAATTGACTACTGAGTGTACATTGCAGTGAAGGCCACCATTTGCCATTTGTCCAGGGCGATGCTATTCAGTCAATTCACCAGCAACCCACTTTTCTTAAGAAAGTAACATCTCTATTGAGGGATCTCAATAATAACTATAAAATTCATCAGTGTTTGGTGTGTAAACTATCATTTTTAAGCTAATATAGTTGAAATTTAACTATTCAACATGTTTTTTAGTATTTTTCTGTTCCAAACTATTCTTAGACCCAAAGTTAAGTTTTCAGTGTCATGTGGTGGTGCCTGTTGGGCTGTTAGTTGCCATAGACTTGACTGTGACTCATAGCAACCTTGTGAACAGCACATCAACACCTTGTCCTCTGTCCACCAATGTCACAGTCTCTGCCACGCAATAACGGGCCTCAGCACTATTGCAGTCATGGTGTCAGGTCATCTTGACGGTCTTCCTTTCTCTTGATGACCCTGTTACTTTACCCAGCATGCCTTTGTCCCAGGCATGCTTTGTCCTCTTGACAACGTTTCATCATCTTTGCGTCGAAGAAGCTAGCTGGTTGCACTCCTTCCAAGACATAAGGAGCTTCTGATAGGCTGGGACGTGTAAGGATCTGCCTAGAGAGCGACCTTCCCCCCAGTAACGGCCGTGGGATGTTGCTGTTACTTAAGGCATAATTTGAAACTATCCACCACCCTCACTCTCGCTGCCATGAAAAAGCCCAATGTAGCAGTCACTGAGCCAATCCAAGTCCACCTCTTTAAAGATCTTCCTCTCTTACTGACCATCAACTCTTCTAAGCATGATGTCTTTCCAAGGCCTAGGGCTTCCTGACAACGTGCCAAAAGTACGTTCACCATCCTTGCCTTCTAGGAGCACCCTGCTCTGCTTTTCATCCAAGGACAGGGTCTTTGGACAGTCTACGGGATGTGGGCCCTATCTTCCCCAAGTCTACAATTCAGAGTTCCCGATAATTCTTAAGTTGACCCTTACTCATTGTCCACTTCTCACGTGCATATGAAACAGTGGATCCAGTGTGTCTTGGTCTTTAAACTGATATCCTTGCTCATTAGCACCTTCCACAGGTCTTTGACAGTCGATTTCCCAATGCAGTATGTCTTTTGATTTGACTGCTGCTACCCTGAAAGTCCAAGTGAAATGAAATTTTTGCTAACTTCTGTCTTCATCTATTAAGATGTTGTTGAATGGTCCAGCTGTGAGGACTTTTGTTTTCTTGATGATGTATAAAGTGTTTGAAAGTGTAGCCTTTGATCTCACATACATTGTCTTAACTTTACATAAGCAAGCTTCTGTTGTTTGCATAACAGATTGATTGTTCATGCGTCTTCCCCCAGTCGTGAAGCCACCTTGTTCAGGGTCTATCTTCTTGATTTAGTCAGGATACAGATGGTCTAAGGCTGGAGTGTCATGTAGAAAAGAGATTCAATACCTTTCCTTTGATACCTCTGAGAACTCACACTGGAAGACATAATAGAGGCCTTTCAAACCTCAGTATAACTTATCTTTCCCTTTCTAATTCCTATAGTTATTGTAACAACACTAATAGAATTTACTGTAAAGGCCATTTTTGCACAGTGAAAGCTGACCATTTGGAAGTAATTTAAGAAAGAATCTAGACTATTTAGATGAAATTGTGTAGTAAATCTGAAGACTTTACTGTAAAAATCTCTTTTACATATTTACATCTGAATCCAGCATCCCTTTTTGCTTTATAAATGAGGTTAAGGATGAAATCCAGATGTTTTCCCTTTGTATCTGTGTGATCACCGTATGGAATCTAAGCATATCCAAGGAAATCTACAGATAAAAGATGTTGCTTATATTAACTTTGGCCTCTCTTCTGTGTTTCAATCGATGCTTTTCTTCGGAATCGAATACTTTGCCTTACCTTTTTTTAACCCCCCTAGTCATTGTTTCCTCTTGAAATACTGAGTTGGTTTTTATAGATAGGTTCTATCACAGTTTGATAAATTAATGGTATAGTGTGTTGACTACAAGGTCCTTAAAGTAGCCAAGCAAAGTGTTGGGCCTTTGCACGTCTTTTCAGCTCAGCCCTTCTTTTTGAGCTGGTAAGCGTGGTCTGGAAGTGTCTTTACGAGGCAGCTGTTCCTTCCCATTGGTGTGTTTTGCTCTTGACGAGCTGTAACCAAAGATGCACACTCTTTGATCAAAGTTGGGTTCGAAGACGTTGTGCTTGGCTGTTCCATCCAGATTGCAAGGGCCTGGGAAAGCCATGGCGTCCGGGGCCTCAAAGCACTCGGGATCCCGTTTGCACGCTCCAGGCCCAAGAGGCGTCCATCACTATGGGGAAGAGTGGCACATCCCGGTGCACCCGCCAGCGTCCACCGGACCCCCCAGCGGGAAGGGCCGTCCCGGGGCCCATCCCCACACGTGTCGGGCAGCACGCCCACGCCGCCTGCGGCCCGCCCGGCGGCTCCAGGCCGCTGCCCACCCCGCGGGCGTGGGGCCTCGAGCACGTGCAGCCGCCCGGGGCCGCCTCGCACACCCCCTCCCGCCAGATGTAGTCCAGGCCCGGCGGGCCCCGCGCAGGGATTCCCAGCACGGCCACCTGACTGAGTGCTGGGCGTGCTGCGGCCCGCTGCTGCTGCCGCCTCCGCCGGGGCTGCGGCCGGACGAAGGCGCCCGCTGTGCACACGGGCCCGGCAGCGCACTGCGGCCATTATCCGCGGCGCCTCCTAGTGGGGCAATGGCGAGTGACTGCGGTTCTCGCGAGATCTCCTCCTCAGTGGGCATTATATAATCCCCCTCCGGCGGGGGCTGAGGGGTGCTGGGGGCACCCACCCTCGGGGAGGAGTGAGGGACCAGGCCAGGGGTGGGCAGCAGAGCCGCCCCTGGGGGCTTGGGGGCCGAGGGGTACTGCCCCCCCCACTGCCCCCCCACTTGGCTGGACAATGAGTCCTCTTATGCTAATGAGCCCCTTACGTCACTTCCGCTCTTTCTCGGCCGCCATTTTGGCTAGGGCAGGTTCGGGGACTCGCTCCGAGGAGCCTGTATTGTCTGCCGAGGGGAGACGCGGGATCAGCCCCCTCCCCCGCCCGCCGCCGCCGCCGCCTCCGCCGGCCCGGTCTCCCCGCCGCCCACCGGGATCCATGAGCTGAACCCCCGCCCCCCGGCCGCCGCCATCTTGTGCCCCCTCCCCCTCCCGCGGGCAGCGCTCGGGGAGATTTTGGCGTGTCCTCCGGCACAGCTCCCTCTCTCGGTCCCCGCCGCCGAGGAGCGAGGGCAGCGCGGCCGCCGCCAGCCTGCCCGCGCCGGCGAAGCCTCCGCGCCCCGCACCCTCCGCCTCCTCCCTCCGCCCCTCCTTTGTCTGCACCGCTCGACGACGCTGCCGCCGCCGCCGCCGCCGCCCGCCGCTCTGCTGCGCCCGCCGCGCCCCCATCCAAGGACAGGGTCTTTGGACAGTCTACGGGATGTGGGCCCTATCTTCCCCAAGTCTACAATTCAGAGTTCCCGATAATTCTTAAGTTGACCCTTACTCATTGTCCACTTCTCACGTGCATATGAAACAGTGGATCCAGTGTGTCTTGGTCTTTAAACTGA